AGGGAGCCCGATGCGGGGCTCGATCCCAGGACCCCGGGATCATGACCTGAGCCGAAGGCAGACGCTTAACCAACTGAGCCACCCAGGTGCCCCCACAGCTTTTGTTTTATGTTTCTATTATTTAGCTCTAACCCAGCCAAAACACTTTCAGTCCATTTGTGGATGAAATACCCATCCCAATATCAAACCTAAGCAAGTTTATCACAAGCTATGCTCAGGAGAATCATAACCAGTTTAGATATTAAATTATCTTTTTCCTTACTCCATCATAATTTTATAGGTTATAATTTTACAGTGTCTGGATAGGTATCTACAGCCAAAATGTGCAATTTAACTCTGATTTTTATTTTAAGTTGGAAAGGTTTAGATACATTGACCGCCTAGAAAGCCCAGTGTTAATTTCTCTGTTCCCGGCTTCCTCCCTCTATGCTATCCCCAAACTGTACCTTATCTCTAAGGAAATATTCAACCTTTGATCTTTTAGCTGAGGCAGTCAATGAGGCAGGCAAGTCAGAAAAATCAGGGTGAGTGGACCAATAACCCCATGTGATGGTAATTAACATTGAGTGGCCTCTGCTAATGTGCTAGAAGAGAGTAAGAACCTGCTCACTGGGCCTTCATCTTTAATGAGGCAGTGGGGAGCAGTGGCGGCGGGCGGGTGGGGGAGGGTGGTTAGATAGGGAAGAAATGATTTGTTGGAAGCAAAAGGAATGGGACGCATCTTAAAATGTCATTTTCAGGGGCGGCTGGGTGACTCAGTCGTTAAGCGTCTGCCTTCGGCTCAGGTCATGATCCCAGCGTCCTGGGATCCAGCCCCGCATCGGGCTCCCTGCTCCGCAGGAAGCCTGCTTCTCCCTCTCCCACTCCTCCTGCTTGTGTTCCCTCTCTTGCTGTCTCTCTCTATCAAATAAATAAAATCTTAAAAAAAAAAATCAAAAGAAGAATAATATTTAAAAAAATAAATAAAATGTCATTTTCAGAGCACAGCCTGGGTGAGGTAAAGAACTAGGTTCTTTCCAAGTCCTTAGCCCCGCTTCATCAAGATTGAACTCTGGAGGTTTCCAAGATAAGGACCCACACAGTCGACTAGAGTTAAGTGACTAGCCCAAGGTCACACAGTGAGTTAGCAAGAGTATGAAAATTATAATTCACAGTCTTTGTGTTTCTAGTTCATTGCACGAGGAATGAAAAAAATACTCTGTATAATAAAGCCCCAGAGCCATTCTTTTTAGACTTACAGGAGTTGAACAAATTATAACAGGCTCAGAATTTAAGAATCAGTTTCAAACTTAAAACTGAATTAAAACACATAGCTCACAGTTACAGCACTGGTCACCAGAGTAAAATGTTCTCTCTGATCATGACTTCAGGCCAACATTAATTAAAAAGGAGAGAAGGAAATGGTGTGGGTCTGGAAATGCATTACCTTCACCTACAAAGCCAGCCATAATGGCTCACCCAATTCACTCGACATTCAGTATTTCATTCAAAAAATATTCCTGGATTACTTACAACACAACCAAGCCCTATATTAGACATGGGGATATAATAGTTAATGAGACAGACAGACACAGAGCCCGGGTACACTCACAGGGTCATCAAGTCAGCAACTACCTCCCACACAGGTCAGGCTCCCTTGTCTTGGACATGCCCTTTTACCCCACTTATTTATGGGCAACACTCCCCCCTCCCCCAGCTCAAGTTCATAAAAAGAGAAACCAAAAGCCCAATTGCTCCAAAGTTGCATTACAACTACTTGACGTTTCTTGTGTGATTCCTTAAGAACGACTGATGCAGGGGCGCCTGGGTGGCTCAGCCGTTAAGCATCTGCCTTCGGCTCAGGCCATGATCCCAGGGTCCTGGGATTGAGCCCCGCATCGAGCCCCGCATCAGGCTCCCTGCTCCGCGGAAAGCCTGCTTCTGCCTCTCCCACTCCCCCTGCTTGTGTTCCCTCTCTCACTGTGTCTCTCTCTGTCAAATAAATTAAAAATCTTAAAAAAAAATTGATGCATATTTTCTCTCTATAGGGAATTCAGGCCTGTTTTTATTAAGTGCCCAAAACACCCTTCTTTAATTTATGTACCAAATTAACCCCTTCTTGTTTTTCTAGTCATTCCTCAAACAGCACTTTTCTCAAAGCCCTTTTCTTGACTACAGTTAAGACCCCAGGAGGTGGCTAGTAAGTGACACAGGGACGCTGCCTCCTCAAAAGCCAGGTCACCTAATTATCACCTTTATTGTGTCCAAGGTAATTCCCTGGGCTCTCAGTTCAGTTTGTATGCTTTCTTGTTTGGACATATCTTAACATTTGTAGACGACTTTCCAGTCCTGAGGAGGGTTTGTAAACGGGTGATTTTCATAATTCTGCTGTTTCTTGAAGCAAATTGTTCCAGTGACAGATTCCTCTGTCACAGTTAAATAATTTTTTCCTGGTCCTTATTTCTAGTATCTGGGTGAATTACTACTGATATAAAGAAAACTGAAGGGGTACCTGGGTGGCTCAGTTGGTTAAATGTCTGCCTTCGGCTCAGGTCATGATTTCGGGGGTCCTGGGATGGAGCCCTGCATCGGGCTCCCTGCTCAGCGGGGGATCTGCTTCTCCCTCTCCCTCTGCCCCACCCCACTGCTTGTGCTCTCTCTCATGCTCCCTCTCTCAAATAAATAAAAAAGAAGGGGCAACCCTCTCGGGTCCCCTCCTTCTTCGGGAGCTTTGTACTATCACTCAATAAACTTTGCTTTGCTGCCCACCAGTCTGCCCCATCTACCTCTTCATTCTTCAAAGCGGTGTGACCAAGCACAGTGGGCACCAAAGGAAAAAGTCCTGTAACATGTGCTTCTAGAAATTATTAAATGTATCCCTAAATTAGCCAGTCTGAAGAATGCTGTTATAACAAACAGTTCACCATTGTTTACTTCTTCGTTTTCCCCAGAAAGCAAGCCTTCTAAGGGTTAAGAATTCTAATTAATGTATGTAATTAAAGCTACTAGAAATAATAAGGGAAACAGCTCCACATGCAAGCAAAGTAAAATGTGTGCTTTAATGAGGAAAAAGAAAGCCATAGAAGGCTTGTGCAAAATAAATCTTTGGAAAGGAAAAAAAAAAGAAAACTGAAGATAGCAGACCCTAAAATGGATCATGCTCCTAAAATTCCATTTCGTATAAAAGAAAACCTATTTTCTAAAAATCTTTCATTCCGTTAAGGTTTCCATTTTAAGAAAGCTCTTCAGGTCACTGTACAGGGACACAACAGTATAATGTCAGCAATTACCGGGGCCCTGCCCCACCACAGAAAAGTCTAAGTGATATGCCAAGAGCCCACGGACAGAAACCAGTTCTATGTCAAGGAGCCCCAGACTACGGGGCTCGCGTCTGAAGCAACAGAGGGCAATTAAGACTTCTTACTCCTCGTCCTGCAGGGTCTCCTCCTCCTCCTGGATCTGGAACTGGTTCTTCACGGGAGCGAGTGTCTCCGTCTTGGTGTTGTAGTTCCGAAAGCAGACATTGAGCTTCTCGTCAAATTCGTTCACGAGGTCCTCCATGGACTTGAAGCTGATTATTTCAGAAGAAAAATTCTCCAGCTCAGAGAGGGAGGGGTCCTCTAGATGGTGGGGAGATGAGCCATAGAAACACTGTGGTTTCTCCTCCCGGTCCTCTGAGCAGCAGGGCCGAAGGTCCTCGAACTCTTCATCCAGACTCACCAGGGGGGCCTCCATTCTTGCCCAGCGATAGGACAAGGGCAACTCTCAGGACTCGTTTATCTAGGAGAAATAAACAAGGTAACGTGAGCTGGGACTGGGCTTTTGTGCCAGCCCTGCTGAGGAGCCATAACCAGGTAGTCCCTGACTCTGGATCCCTCTGAAAACGAAGATTCCACTTTCCAGGTATCCATCACTGTTGCTCACTGTTATACACGTGAAGCGTTCAAACAGTGTCGTCAGTGTGAATAACCTAAGAGGAGTAAACTTTGGAGACATGCCTGCTTCCAGTTCCCTGCTCCAAAAGACAAAGCACAGTGGTTTAAGATGCAGCCCCTGGACCAGACTGCCTAGATTTGCACCCTGTTCTGACCCTTACCAGTTGCAACCTGACAACTTACTTAACTCTCTGTACTTCCTTTTATTTTTTTGTCAAGACAGAAATAATAATCTGCAAGGGATCATCTTAAGGGTTAAGGGAGTAAACCCAGGTAAGTGCTTAGAACAGTGCCTGGAAGATAATAAACATCATTGTTGTTCCATACGTTCTCCATTTAATATTATTATTATTATCATTATCATTATTATTATTATTACCATAGGTCCACATCCTTAACCACATGCTCTGAAAACCAGAAGTCTTTCATAACTTATTTGGTGGCAAAACCTGACCTGACCTCACTTGGCAACTAAAGCTGATCTACATGAATACAAAGTTGCTTATGGTTTTAATTTATCCCATTTAGTGTGTTTTGCTGCGGAAATATTAATGTTTTTAATTACGGTGATTGCTGCCCCAGTCCCAGGAGGTGATATGCAGAATATGCACTCTATTACTGCTTTCTAAAATGCCTGGCCCCAAGGGTTTTGGAGAGGGATTCATGGACCTGGGTATTACTATCAATAAATACATCATAGACCAATAGAGACTTTCAAACAAGCACCTGAGCTTTTCTAAGATACAGAGCTTCTGTCTGGGGCTAAAGGAATGGATCAGATGATTGGTTATCTTGACAGAGAGAGACCCAAATACCCATGCACTGCAAAGCCAGCCTCCATAACCATCTCGGGCACCCCCAGCTGAAAGGCTGCATACTCGGGCCTGCTTTCTTTTCCATGGCTCTCGGTCCTCCTCACACACTGCCTTCAACTGTGATTTATCCAACCATGTGGATATCTAAGCCCTTCCCCAGTTTTAATGTAAATTCCTCAGGGGGCACAGACGTCCTCTGGACATCACGCGTGGCTCCTAGCACCCCCTGGTGTGCAGCTAGGCAATCAATCAATGTGCGCTCATTGAAAAATGATCATCTGTCCCTCACATACATTTTCTCATTTTCCATTTCAGCAGCCCAGCATTATTGTCTATCATACCCTTCCCTACACACTCCACTTTCTTCCCTGTAAAATGCAAAGGCAACCAAACTTTTCTCTCCTGTGTGTGATTACTGGTCCAGTTAGATGCTGAAATTGGAACCACCACCTGAGGAGAACCGGACAGACAGCAAAACCCAGGGGTTTTGCCCTGCAAGTGCCGTTCTCCCTCTCTGTCTATAAAACTTAAACTCTAAATAAGTGAGGCAAAGGTCATGCCAGGCGAGGACCTAGCCAGCTCTTACTGGGATTATACTGGAATTAAGCCAATTACCATCACATCCCATCAAAACATATTCTAAGTATTTATGGCTCGCAAAGGCAACATGATAAGATATCAAGATAAAGAGATAGAAAAGCAGTATGATATCTTGGAAAGAACATATGCTCAAGAGCCAAACAGACCTGCCAATGTGTGGCTAAGTGACAAGCATCATGAGTCCTGTTTTTCTCATCTGTTAAAATATGAAGGTGTTGGTGTAGAGCTAATAGCTTTGCAATTTAATTTTAATAACTTATTAATGATCTTAATTTTAATAATATATTTTAATAATGTATTTAATTTAATCCAATATATCTAAAAGGTTGCCTTTCAAAATGTAATCTATATTTTAAAATATTAATGAAACAATTTACATTCTTTTTTCATACTAAGTCTTTGAAATCCAGTGTGTATTCACTGTACATTTCCATTTAGACTAGCCACAGGTGGCCTATGGCTACCATATTGGACAACGCAGCTATAAAACAATACACAACTAATTGCCAATTATTGACTACAGTTAAGACCCCAGGAGGTGGCTAGTAAGTGACACAGGGACTCTGCCTCCTCCTGAGGATTCTTCATCTAGGGTCTATAGACCCCTAAAAGGGCTCTTTGAATATAACTATATTTTATGCACTTAAAAACATATTTGGGGTGCCTGGGTGGCTCAGTTGGTTAGGCGACTGCCTTCGGCTCAGGTCATGATCCTGGAGTCCCGGGATCGAGTCCCGCATCGGCTCCCTGCTCAGTGGAGAGCCTGCGTCTCCCTCTCCCTCTATCCCTTCCCCTCCCAGCCCCCCGCCCACGTTCATGTTCTCTCTCGCTCTCACTCTATCTCAAACAAATAAAAAAATATTTTTTAAGAAAAAGACTATGTACATGTGTTACTCTGATTTAAAAGAGCAAAACACGACTCTCTTTGCTGTCATAATCCAACAGCTTCTATAATGTTTGATTACATTTCTTAGAGTCACAAGGACAAGCATAAAGAGGTTTGGGAACAAACACAACTGATTCTTGGCGATGAACCACTTAAGTAGAAGAAGAGCTATGAGGGCTTGCTCAAAGAACCCTACCAGCTGTGTGCATTCAGCAAGTCAAGGGCACTGGGTTGGCCGCTCTCTTACAGGAATACAGAGCGCTGGTTAATCAAGCAAATCATTTAAACTGAGGTCAGTTAAAAGAGCTTCTACTGTAATGAATCCCGATAATAAAGGAGATGAAACAAAACAGCCTTAATCCATCCACTTTTGCTACCCTGTCATTTTCCCATGGGTTGGATGGAAGAAATTTCACAAGGAGTGGAACTCAAGATCATCCTTCTCAGGGTCATTCAATTTGCCCTGAAATATTAAACCTCTTGAGGGAAATCTGCAAATGAGGATAAATTAGAGACTTATGAAGGGCAGGCTATCTTATACACCCTTTGGCTTAATCTACAAAATGAGTTGGAAAGGTGGCCAAAGAGATAACAAAGCAAAATCTGCCTTTTGCACCATGATGGACCTGATTTTATTTCAGTAATTAGATTTATTCCATGGTTGCCTCCTTGTCCTTTGCATCTGGGGTAAGGATATACATTAGCATCTCAAGAGAAAACAAGCAGTCGGGAGCCAAAACAGGACTGGGGACACAGCCTCCTGGATCCACACTGAGTAGGCTTGTCCCAAATCTCCTAGTGTCAAAGTCGCCACCTTACCTACCCCATCAGTGAAACCTTGAGGTTTTGAGAATTTTGGATTGCTAATTATTAAACGAGTTAAGGATGTACAGCCACCTTTTCAACAAATCAGCCAACTGCTGATCTCTTTGCTGTGCTATTTGGGGCAATGATCTGCAGAAATATCGCCCAGTAAGGGAAATGTGTCTCTTGCTCTTTTACTTGGACTCAATTCTGGAGGACCTAGGAAGATGAGATCCACCTCCCTTTCCCTCATTTGCTGAGCCCACAGGGCGTAACAGCCCTTCCTGATAAGAAATTGTCAAATTTCCTATACAGCTGAAACTAGAAAACCAAGCAAGGTAGAAATCGGCTTTTAGGAAGGACAGAGCTATTAAATGATTTTACTTTTCTATACGTAGATTCAGCTAGGAAGGGCGATTTGGATCTTCTGAAAGGTCACTCCTCAGCCCATGCAAATCAACTCAAAACAAGTATTCTCTTTATTCAGAAGCCTTTAGGCTACTTTCTTCTTTGGCATCGGTAAGCACAGAATGTGACTCAGGTTCAGCTGCATAAACGTCTTCTTGGTTGAGTCTATAACCGTCTCATTGGCCACTCTCCACTGAGTGGCCACCTCACTAATGTCTAGGCCCCAGCTTTGGTCATTTGCCAGGCTTTGACCTTGACACAAATCTATCAGTATTTGCCATCTTGTTTTTGGTGGTACTGAACAGTTCATTTTAGATAGAAAAACTTGATTTTTTTTTTTAAATCATTATTATTTGAACACAAGAGAAGCCTGTTATGGTCACTCTCCTACTCTCTTACTTCAGACCACCCTATTTTGCACGTTGCAGGACACAGATCAACCACAGAGTAATTTGCATTTACACTTTTTACGGATAGCCATTTGGATCACCTCGTATACACTGGATGTCCCCTCATCTTATTTTTCACCTCCTCCACAACTCCTGCCTTCCCAGCAATGTTTTAGAGCTGTTGCTGAGCTTCATTACCTAATGGGGAAGACTGTTGAATTACTGAATGATTTTCTAACTGGAATCCACATCTTCTCAAGCCTTATTAAGTAAGGGGCCCCAGAGAGGTACCTCAATATCAGAGCTGTTGCCATTCAGAGCCTCCATGTTTGGGTCCCTCCAGTCTTCTGAGAGTGAAGGGATGTAATTCTCTGTCAGAGCATCCCAAACCCTGTAAACAAAGAGAAGCTCTTATTAGCACACATCTGTGGCCTGGCCCCGCCTGGAGGAAGGAAGAGCTGGGCCAGTGGAGGAGAGAGGCTTCTGTGTGTGCCAGGCTGAGATCATCTGCCTTCCAGCATGCAAGAGCAAAGCAGCTTAGAAATGGAATTAGAGGGGCGCCTGGGTGGCTCAGTCGTTAAGTGTCTGCCTTCGGCTCAGGTCATGATCCCAGGGTCCTGGGATCGAGCCCCGCATC